GGGGGCTTCCACTCATAGGAAGTAAGGACCCATAGTTAAATAAATCTTGATACAATCATCGGGGAAAATCTGGTTAATTAAAAATCAATCTATCTTAAGGAAAATGGAATCCTAAGCCTGAAAAGACGGGTTCGTGCCTAGCACCATTTTTCTTGAGCGAACAAGAATAAAAAGCTACATAGGATCATTAACATAAATACAATAACCCTAATCACCAAATAATAGAATTTAAAGTTGGTGATTTTATATTTATGAAAGTCAAGTCTATGAAATGTGTTGCCAGATTTGGTCAAGGATACAAATTGAGTCCATGATTTACATGACCATTTCAGATTATTGAAAATATTTGTAAAGTTGCCTATATATTAGCACTACCAGCTGATTTATCTGATACATAAAATGGATTTCCAATGCACAACAAAGAATCTCACTTAAAGTAATTGGAGTACAGAAGATCTTATATATATTGAGGAGCCTGAAAAGATATTTAAAATTGATGTTAAAAGAATAAAAAGTAGGCAATATCTGCATGTTAAGGTGCGGCAGAGACAAAGCAGAAAATGAAGCATCCTGTGAAAAAAAAGAAGAAATGAGATAATGATTTCCCCATTTATTTGAATGGTTATGAAAGGAATTTTGAGAATAAAATTCTTAGAAGGGAGAATTGTCATAACCGATTTTTCCAAAAAAAAAAAGAAGAAAATTTCTCGACCTCACTTTTCATACATTTTGAAATTCATTGAAATCATTTTTGTCTAATTCTATATTTTGTTTTAATCATTTTGATATGAAGATTTATATATAAATAGCATACTTATATTAGGGTATGAAATTACGTAACATTTGAATCATTTTCCCAAGTTTAAAATTTAACGTTAATGTAGCAGGTAAGCAATTTACTGTAGCATACTGTACAGTATTCTTAAGTTTTAACACCGCAAAAGCTGTGGCGGTGGATTTAAGGCATATATCCTAATATCCTTATCCTTTCCTTCACCAAATCTCCCTAACTGAGACCTACAGGAGCTAGAGTTGGCTGTAGGGCTGGCTAAATGGAGAGGGAAGGCTGGTGGGTACTGTAGCAATGGGAGAAAAACAGAGAAGTGGTGGGGCTGGTAGTGTAGCAAGAGGAGAAAAACAAAGAAAAGGGTAGGGACGAAAATAAAAAGAAAGATAGAAAAGCTAGGTTAGAAATTTATGGTTTTCTATCATTTCTTCAAATCAAGTTTAGTTCATGTTGTAAGCGTTAAAAGATTTGAATGAGAGGAAGGCATTTCGAGATAAAAATGCTATTTTAGAGATATTTTTTTGTCAAATCGGATTATTGAATTCGGGAAATATTACAAATTGATTAAATAATTATTTTAGGTTGTTTACGAATGGTCGAGGTTTTGGAAAGATAAATAAGGAATCCATTGAGGAGAATACACAATTGTTAAAGTGAGATACTCTACTTCTAATATAACGCTTAAATGATTTCTAAGATTTAAGTTTACACATTTTATGATTCCCATCAACTATGATGATAGCTTATGATTGCATTTATAAAAATTCTTGCATAATGAGCATGCTAAAAATATCCAAGAGCATAAGAGAGATTAATGCATATTAAGAATTTATACATGCCATATGATTTATATGATTTCAAGTTAATCATCATTAATTGTAAGTCTAAGACTACGAAATGACATATAATGCACAAATGGGCATTTTTATGGTATCATATTTATCATGTATGTACAAATTATGAAATGAATAAATATTTATGTCAATGCCAAGAAATGAAAATGATTAAAATATTTATAATGAAATTCAAGGATTTTATGAAAGGCCATATTATATGAATTAGGTGGGTTGATTTTAATGACCTGTGCAGGAAGAGATGATTCTTGGAAAAAAAAAACTGAAGGGTTAGTTAGCCCAGGCTTTATGTAGAAAAGATGAATGAAAAAAGGAATTTTTGATGGTTCATACTGGAGAGTTTGTTAACCCAACCTTTATCATGATAATAAAAAGGAAATTCTAACCCTTGATAATGGAGAGTTGATTAACCCAACATTTATTAGGGGGAAGTTGATGCAAAGGGCGAAGCCATAAGCATGATACGCCATTTCTTATGTTTTGATTATTAAGAATGAGTAAAAGAGTGAAAATAAAAAATAATATTAGTTTGATGTTTATACAATAGTTATACTAATTATTTCTAATTTAGTTTTCCATATAATAACTAATAACTCATGTGTTAAATTAATATCTAATTTATGAAGCTTATTATTGATAATTGAAAATAGGGATGATTCTTACATCACATATGAGCAGCATTTTTATATCCTTTCCTTATATATTTGACTTTATGCTAGAATTGTTTATCTCACTAAGATTGCAGCTCATTAATGGGGCTGTTAAGTTTTCAAGAAAAGAAAAGGGATTCGAGGAGTAGTTATGTTGGATATATGATGTTAGAAATTGTAAAAGGTATATATGATGATGTAAATCAAGATATTGGGTATGTACGAATTTATTTGGAAATTAGATGCTCTGTATTTAATTTGACAGTTTATGAAAGCTTCCACTGAATGCTTATGATGGTTTTGTTGGACATTGTTACATGTCATGTAGAATTTTGGATGATAAGGTTAGATTATTTTCACTTATCTGATCCTATCGATTTATAATAGGAATGTGTGGTGAGGATTATTTTCCTCCATATTGTCCACTTCTGTTACGCCTCAGGATTGTCTAAAAAGGGATGAAAATGGGGTGTGACATTTTATTTAGTGTCATGAATGATTTCTAGATCTATACAGATGAGTGATAGAAATTCTTCTAATTGATACTCCTACTCCTGAGTAGGTTCTGTTCTTAGGCCATATTTGCAACATCTTCTTGTTGACAGCATAGTAGAGACTAGGTAAGTGTGATGTAGAACGGGAGCTTGTTTCTCTTGCAATTGGGGGAAGAACAAAACAACCCTTTCAAAAATCTGAAACATGACTTCGATTTTTGAATAAAAATCTGAGAGAAATCTGATAGGAAGTAGTCCAGGGAGAATTCAGCTTGATTGGGAAGAGAATAAGTGGGGAGAGGAGTAACCAAAGGGAGGCCTTGAATGCTTCGGCTAACAGCACGTTAGCCCATTAATTTCTTTCCCCAAATCTGCCTTCTCCCGTGAATAGATTTTGAGCAAATCCACTAAAGGGGAGGCGGTGAGCTGAAAGGTAATTTAGGAAATAAAATTAAAATCCTAAGCTGTTACGTGAAGAAGCTCACGGGATTGAATTGGATTGAGGCTCCTGTTTCCCAGCTGACGGGATTGAGAGGGTGGCGGGAGGAGTTACGAAAGATTTGAGAATTCCTTAATTAATTCCTTAGATGTGGGAATTAATTTAGGAGTTACGGGAGATGTAAATGTCAGCCAAATAAGTGAGGAAGGGATTTAGAAATATTGCCTTGAGGAAAATTCGGCCAAACAAGAGGAGTTAATGAGGTGATTTAATGTTCCCAGATTTGAATTTAAAATTCAATTGTATTTAGAATTCAAATGAATTTAAATTAAGGACTTAATGGAATTTGCTTAATGTAAGGGAATTAAGGAAAGAACCAATTAAATCCCTTTCGAATTAGAAATTCAAATCGGGTTTAAAAATGGAAACTTTCCAAAAATAGTTTTCATGAATTAAGAACGATTTTGAATTTCAAAATACATGAGTTTGAATTTGAAATCAGCCCACAATATGTCCACCCAAATTAGGCAAGGATTTCAATTGGGATGAGGTGGTGGATGGTGGCCGGCGGCTAGAGATTGGGCCGGCGGCATCCAAAGGGGTGTTTGGCCGTGAATTTGAGGGAGGAGGAAAAGATGACTACGAGGAGCAATACGACGAGGAATACAAAGACGGAACAAAGAAAACAAAAACCAAAATAGAAGATCGAAGATAAAAACGAAAGAGAGAAATTAAACGAAAAATACAGGATAAAGACCGCGAGCCTTTGGACTCTTCCGTAGACTGACGGGTGATGCTTTGCCCTTCTCCTAGGGACTTCAATTCACGAGCCCGGACCCATCCTGCGGCTGGTGAAGACTTCGATTCCTCTCATAAGAATCTCACTAACGCTCTCTCACAAGAAGAACACAAGTGTGGAAAACAATTTTTGATATCAATAATTCATCATCCCTTACAATAGCTTAAGGCCCTTATTTATAGGCCCCAATATGAGAAAAATCGAAATTACAAAATTGCCCCTTGGGCCACAACACTCAAATAAACTATCCTAGGTGTAAAACAGGAAATACATTAATTTAGAACTAAAATTCAGAAAAATAATTCATAATTGAAGGTTTAAATGATAGCCATCGATTTACGACGCCTCCTGTGATAGATACGCCAAATCTTCGTACCGATGTCCGCATCAAAGTGTCTAGTAATGTTACTATCTGCATTAAGCTTGTTTTTATAACTTTCAATAGAAAATAGAAAGCATCAGCATCGCAAAGCACCTCTCTTCTATTTTCCTTACTGTATTAGACATGTAAATGGTCGGACCATCCAACATAAATTTATTCATCTCTCATTTTGTTAAATAGATGTATTTAGCGCATGATGAAACTGCCCATATAAGGTGTAGGAAGTCATCTCCGTATGCAGCCTTGTTCACCTGCATTTCTATAATTCAAATTTCATTTCCTCCTAAGCCACGTTGAGGACATTCTAGCCATTCTGCATCATATATTGTTGAGAAATTTAAGGTCTAGTTGAAGAAAATTGTCATATCTACTGGATAAAATTGTGTGCGTCCAATTTTCCTGGTATACAGTAAATTAGCCTTATATAAAGTGTACAAGATATAAACACCATGTCATCCTTTTGGTGCAGACTATATATATTTGTTTTTAAAAATGATTTTACCTCCCTTTTTTTGTTGCTAGTATGTTCTCTCAACTCATCATTTCTAAATTTGACTTCACTTCATTCGTGTTGCTTAAACTTTAGTAATTGCAGGTGAAGGAGGTAAACATTCTGCTGCATCTAGCAGTGGAGCTCCTACCAACGCCAAACTAGACAAGGGTGCCAGACCACATTCTCAAAATAAAGATGGGCCTGAGGATACGGCCACGGCTTCTGAGAAAAGGGCTGACCGTAATCTTGATAAAGATAGAAAGAAGGATTTTCCTCATCCCAGCCTTCAGTTTGATGATAAAAATCGTGTTGAAAAGGCTAAAAGACGTGCTGTTGTTTATCAATTTGAAGCTAGAAACAGAGTTGAGTTATTCCGGCACTTGCCTCAATATGAATATGGGTCTCAACTACCATATCTTGAGTCGAAGTTTTTTCATCTTGATCATATACATCCTTCAGTTTATCAGGTATTTTATAATTCAGCCTTTCTCGCTAATTAACAACTGATTGTTTATGTGGGTTTGTAATCATCATCAAATTATTTGAATGGATCATGAAATTCGCATTACTTGTATTGATTCAGTGTATTAGTTCTTTGTTCTAGCTTAAATAAAGGATAAGCTATACTTGTCTATTTGAGGCTTCGTTTGATTCGGTTTATGCTTACATAAAAAGGAGTTTTAGAAAAGGAGGTTGAGAAAAAGCCGTTCAATAAAATGGAGTTTCAATAATGAGATATGTTTGACTAATATTTTTAAAAGTGCTTATTAATACTTGAAAGTAATTTTAAATTGTTTGTTTAGGAGTTCTGCTTCTGAGATTTTATTATAAAAGACATAATTTGCTTTCGAAACTCCGTTTTGTGACCGAAGAAGCAGATACGAAAAGAATTTTGTAACCGCCGAAAAAACGATGTTTATTAAAAAGGAATTATTGTTAAGCTTTGATTCCAAACAGTAAATACTAATTGATTTCGGCGTATTCAAGCGGAAACGGAGAAAAAAAGCCTAATCAAACGAGGCCTGAGTTTTCTAATCCCAATACGTAAGCCATATTTGAATGAGCTAACGGAATGACGAGAAAATAGATTTTAAAGTCCCTATTAAATGGCTGTTGCCATATTTGATCAACTATTTTTTGAAATTTCATATGCTCCAGTTCCTTCCATCCAGCCGCAGTCTTGGTCAATCTTAAATCATTCCGCTAATCCTTATGCAGTATTACTCTTTTTAGTATTTGGATTTATCCAAAATCTGCTACATTGGTTGCATGTAATCACAGGTGCTTTCCTACGCAACACCTAACTTTGCTTAAATCTCTAGAAAACTAGCTCTTTTTAGTTTCTATTAAAAAAAAGTTCCTAGTAAAGGTCTCTCAATCTATATTTACGAGCCAACTTCTTAAACTTTAAAAATTGGTCAGTCTGCTTGTAAATTCCTTCATTATCAAATCTTACTATGATGTTATGACTATCGCCATTAAAATAGTTCTTATGATTGTTGTCATTAAAATAGTTTGATGACTGGTTAATAATATTAGGCTAAATGTTAATTAGGGCATGAGATGCAAGTTAAGCCTCCTAAGTTGTTCAAAATTATTTTGTTATCTAATCAGCAAGTGCATATGACATATCTGCATGCTCACATACACTCTTACACTTTCATCTGCATGTCTACATGCAGATCTACATGCTCACGTATACATTTGTATGTTTACATGCATACATACATATGGGCATTTTCACTTGCACATTGCTTAATCATGTTTGCAAGATATGTTAACATTCAGCGTAGCGGCTAACATAGTGCATGATGAATGATGTGCATGTATGTGGTATTTTGCAGCTGCACATTTGTTTGCATAATATATTCGCATGATAATCTAGTAATTTCATGTAGTGCGTGGAGTATTTGCATGCTGGTGTAGCTCGCTACCGCTACATAGTATATTTAGCATGTTGTGTAGTATATTTGCATAATGCATTTTATATGTTATATCTTTTATATGCATGATATGATTGTAAAACCCGAAATTCGTCAATTGAGTGCGTCGCACGCATATCGATGCGCCGCGATGAACTTAAGTGAAATTTCGACGTCGTCGGAATTTGACGAAATAAATTTCGTTAGATTCGTCTCGAAATTTCGAGCGAAACGATATAAAGAACTTAATTTCGCTTGGTTTTGGAGTTATAAATTGCCGAAGAAGGTTTAAGTAAAATTTAACATTTTCTACCCATTTTGCCCTTCATGACTTAAAGGAAAATCTATTGAGAGAAGGGCACATGCATAAAATGACATTTTTATTTCTCTAAAACCCCTCATAAGCCCAAAGGGACCGAAACATTTCGGTCCCTTGTTTTGTTCGACCGAGCGTGAGAGAGGGCGACGGGAGAGAGGAGGCGGCGGCGGAAACTTCTTCCCGGACGGTGGCCGGCGAGATTCCGGCGAGGGATCTTTAGGAAAAGCATAGGGAAAACCTTGAGGTAAGTTTTTCTTAAAAGAAATGAAGGATTTCTTGAGTTTTCATTGAAGCAAATTTTAGGGTTTATGTTTTTTTTAGAAAATTTCTTTAGGAAAGCTTTAGAGATTGCTTTGATCTATATTTTCCCTGCCTTACATGTCAAAATTTTAAGCAAATCATGAAATCCGAATTTTAGGGTTTCTCATTTTGATGAAATTTTTATAGCAATGACTAGTAGAGTTTAAGGGAAGCTTTTTGATATAAAAATTATGATTTTTCTTTGAGCGAAATTGAATGGAAAAATTAGGAAAAGTTTAGGTTCTTTTTCAAACCTAGTTTTTATAGGTTGCATGTTCCCTAATTGGGTTCCTAAGAGCTTCAAGAGGCCTCTAATGTCAAAATTGGAGAGAAAACTATTTTTCCAATATTTTATTTTATTTAAATCCGAAATTTATTATTAAAAACATCAAGTTTGGTGAGAGGTTGAAGATGTTGATGATGTTATACCTTAAGAATAGGTGTAGGAGGTTTATAGGAAGCTTCTAAACGAATTAGAAATTTTATTTTGGCAAGGTTTAAGTTAAACTATTTTCCTTTAGGTGGTGGCAAGAAGAAGAAGCATAATTAAAGAGGAAGGGAGGAGGAATTCAAAATTTTTGGAGGTAGGAATTCTTTTCCTTACATGTTCAATTGTTATTTCATGTTTATATCATGTTGTATTGTGAAGCCTTTTATAGTATTTTGTTTCTTTTATGCTTCAAATTCATGTGTAAAGCTTTATGTCAAACATTTGTAAGGAAGGAAAGATTATATGGTCATGTGAAACAAATATCGAATTGATTGTGCATGATTGAATACGGAGTACCAAAGACGGTGCCAAAGGCACAGATGGCCCTTGGGGCAATTGAGAAAAATAAATGGCCAAAAGATGTGTACCTGATCAGTACAAGACGGTACTCCGGGACGGTTGAATATGTTTAATAAGTAAAACAAGATGCATGAGATATAGCTATGACATATGCATATGACATTTACATACCTTTCATGAGGACATAATTGAGACATTAAACACATGTTCCCCTTTCTTCTTAAAGCATGTAATTGAGACATTAAAAACATTTCCCTTTCTTCTTAAAGCATATTGATTTGTCAACTGAGCATGTTTAGGATTAGAACTTTCTGCTGAGCGTAGCTCATTCCCTAGTTTTGGGAAATTTTTCAGGAGACCCGACTCTTAGGTGATGGCTGATCACCCGAGGTTTACTTACAGACGACGCTTACCGGGTGACAGGTTCCTTTACTGTCTTTAGTATCAGTAGATGTTGTAGTTAATTTCTGTTATTTTGGATGGCATGCAGAAATTGTGTAGAAAACATTTTATATGGCCATCTTGTACATTTTGATAGACTTGTGTTATGATAATGTTGTAGAGGTGCTTTATTTATTTTGATTTAGCTAAAAATTGAATGGAATTGTTGATGAGAAATGAATTTCGCGTCCGATCTCGTTCCCGCCTCGTATCTACGAGCTAACCGGGCCGGATCGTGACAATGATTGCGTACTACGTAATGTGCTGTCATAGCGTGGCATACTGAGCACATTGAATAATATGCTTGCACGATGCATCTTGCATATTGTAGGTGTATTCATGTATATGAATGCGTTAGCGTGCATTTTGATGCATGAGGCATGGTGCTTTTGCAATATTCAGATAGGGTTAGCTGCACAAGCGACTGCTGCTGACGAGTACGCATGATTTCATTTTAGCATTTACAAACGCCTTCTGTCTGCTCATATGAGTGTTACAGATCCGGTGACGTGGCATGGTACTTCACTTATTGCTCATTGTCAGTGTAGTTTAGCTCATATCATCCCCTGCTCATCATTATCTTTTTCTTTAATATTCAGCCTGCGGGACTGTATTTTAGCTTGCAAATGAGCTGTACGGTGCATCAGGAGCCTTCCATCTGTCACTTGCAAGCGAGTTGACATCTAGTGTGAAGGCCTAGCTTTATAGGTTTATTATACTCAATTTCATCAATGACCCACAGTTTTTACTATAGATTCTTTGCTTTTTGCTTACAGGTGAAACATAACGTTATGATATTTTGGGTCATGTGCCATTTTATGAAAGTAGACTATCGTGCACTTACGAATCTCCTACGGTGGCTTGTGGGTGTTTGCACTTATCACAGATCAACCACCTTTTGCTTGCAAGGGATTGGTGTATTGGCCTTCCATTGGATAATCATTGACTATGAGTTGTAGCATTCACTGTCAGTTGCTGGCTGCCACACGTAGAATATTATTGTGCATACGACAAATCTTTTGTCATTGCCGGCAGGCATCAGCATTTATTGAATGCATTTCTATATATATTTACAAGAGGCTTTGTTGTTTGCAAACATATTGGTATGTTCATTTCATATTGATTTTATGTTCATAGGAGACCAGTATATTCACTTGCATGTTGATTAGCATTGAGTACCGATTGAACTGCATTCATTGCTAATATCTTCATGCACGTTGACTAGCGAATCACTATATTCATTCCATGTTAACCTTCATCATCCATAGGAATTGATGTGTTTTCTTGCATGTTGATTAATGCCAATTGTATGAATGTCACTACGCTCGTCGCAAGTCGATTATTTAATCTTTGTTCTCCACCAAGCAGCATTCAGAGCTGAGTAGTATAGCGTGCTTCGAACTTCCTCGGATGCGCCAATTCACCATGTTCATTGAACTTCATTACTTGCAAAGGTTTAATGTGTTTGCTTGTACATAGGCATTGACTATAGGGAAGTTGCTATAGTCATTGTATGTATATCTTCATGCTTAGCTCATAAACTTGTCATTACATGTTTATTGCGTACATTGGAGTTCCTTTATCGCTTGATGTATTTGCTTGAACTTGTGTTCAATACAAGTTTCTCATTTGTTCGTTGATATTTATCATGAGTATTTCTGGTTCATTGATGTTTATTATAGGTTCTTGTTCGCATGTTGATGTTCATTTGAATGTTCATCACAGAGCTCATTTAGTGTTTGATTATTTGTTCATTTTGTGAATTATATATTTGTTTTATGCATTTATTCAAGTCTGGTTCCCTATTGTGCAAATTGCTCATGTTATTTTTTGTTCAAGTCTACTGTATTGCATTCAAGTTCAAGCCCCCTGTGGTTCGGTTTACATGTTTAGTTCCCTGTGTTTATATAAAATTTGGTCCTTGTTTACTAAAAAATCTGGCAGCCTCTCGGTATCTCCCCTTTTTAGGGGAAACTTCAGGAGCTGGGTCTTCCTACCATGTTAGAGAAAAGCATGTATTGTAGGTGTCGGGCGACACCGTAGCCGTGGTCTATGATCACACCATGCTAGAGCAATGCGTGTATGCGTCTTTAGGGGTACCTGTTTAAAACGCACAGTTCTTTTCCTTGTCAGCACCGAGGCATGCGCATGGGTACTTAAATTTGTCCCGCCACACCAGAGAAAAGCGTGTACAGGGCTTACTTGTCTTGCTGCAAGCACCGCACGGGATTCTCTCCCACCAAGCTAGAGAAAAGCTTGTATGGATGGTTTTTCGGTATGCCGCAAGCGACAAGAATGGGATTTTGAGCTTAGGGCGCTATACCTTTGCGCGATGAAGCGGTGATTGTGTCGACGTCGACAACGGCGAATATGCACAAAAGTTTCATTTTTTATATTCATTCATTTTTCATTTCATCATTTTATATATATATTATGATTATAAAAATGGCAATGAAAATCAAACATTTATCATTTTGCTTCAGATTTCACACGATGATTATTTTTCAACTTCATAAATTAGTTATTTTAATTAATAGATTATTGGGCATTTTACAAAATAGAGCGTGTTTTAACTTTAAATTAACTTAAGAAGCAGGTTAACAAATGAATTTAAAAATGAGCAAATACGAAACTTGCCATTTGCGAGTCAAACCCCTCATTTGCCAAATTGCCGAATGCTTGTGAACACCACCTGCTGCTCTTGACCTACAACAGATACATATGCGAGTCATCAAGGGTTAGTATCAGGTTGTCAGGTTTATCCGAACCCTACCCAAAACTTGAAACGGGTTGTAAATCGAGACCCAACCCCTACTATTTTTCAAATGGGCCGACCCTAACATTAAAATTTGGGGTCGGGTTTGGGTCAGATTTTCTTGTCGTGTCAATTTTTTACACCCCTAGTGACTGCAACGATGCAGCCCATTTGGCAATAAGAGGTCGTTTGTCCATTCAAATGACACGCTGCACCGACGTGCACGTCATTGAATTAGCCAATTTTTCCCCTTTTTACATGTATTTTGATGTAGGGGTCAACATGGATGTATCGGCTTCCTCATAGGCATTTACACAAAATTTAGAACAAAATTTAGATGATATATTATAATCAAAAAACCCAAAACCTCTTCTTACTGGAAAAACTCTGTGAAAAAAAAACATAATTTATTTAGCATCCAAAACCATTATTGTAGATCCTCCAAAGGAGTTCGCCCCAAATCCCATTATAAATAAAAAGTTGATGCAGAGTCTAATCAACTTTTGGATTTTGACGTTAGTCTTCAGAGTATTTATGCTGAAACTTGAAATAACCTGAAACACATTCCTCATCCTTTGTTATGCTTCTGTAGGACTGGTGATGCTATATTTCCGTTATCTGGTTGCCCAATTTTGTTTTATCGATATTCAGTAACATCATTGCTTGTTTTGAAATATATATATATATATATATAGCCATCCGTCTCTCTACTGGGATATACGAGCGCTGTGTGATAATTAACTTCTCTGTCGCACATTACTAATACAAAACTTCCTTCCAGTCTTATGAACATAATTCCAGTAAGATAATATGCATAAATCTTGTCAGGTTGGTATGCAATATATCTCAGGGTCTACCTCTGGTGGCAATGCTCGGTGTAAGGAAATGCTTCTTGCATTTCGCATGGCTATTATGGATTATTCTATATCACCAGAGAAAAGTGTTGTTCGAGATTTGATCTCAAAAATTAATAGTTATGTGTCATTTTTAATTGAGTGCAGGCCTCTTTCAGTAAACATGGGAAATGCTATCAGGTTTTTGAAGAATAGGATTTTAAAGTTACATCATAACCTTTCTGAATCGGAAGCAAAATATATACTTATATCAGATATTGACCGTTTTATAAATGAGAAAATAATAGTTGCAGACAAGGTTATCATAAGCCATGCTGTTGCAAAAATTAGAGATGGTGATGTACTCCTTGTATATGGACATTCAACTGTTGTGGAAATGATAATCGTACATGCACTTGAGCTTGGAAAGCAGTTTCGTATTGTAATTGTTGATTCTCGGCCTAAGTTTGAAGGGCGAAGATTACTTCGGAAGTTGGTTATGAAAGGCATCAGCTGTACTTATACACACATAAATGCCATTTCATACATCATGCATGACGTTACACGTGTTTTCCTCGGGGCTTCTTCGGTTCTGTCTAATGGAACAGTTTATGCAAGAGTTGGTACAGCTTGTGTTGCAATGGTGGCTCATGCTTTCCAAGTTCCTGTTCTAATATGCTGTGAGGCATATAAATTTCATGAACGGTTCCTACTTGATTCAATTTGCTCTAATGAACTTGGTACTGTTCAAATTTTGTTTACGTTAGGCTTGACTTTTCAAATTATTCACTTGAGTTCTATCAATAAACACCGGGGATATATCTTTTAGTTTTTTTTTTTTTTTAATTCTACAGGCGATCCAGATGTTATCATAAACGTTCATGGGGGAAAAGATTTGAATCCTCTTGCAAAATGGGCTGATAATGAAAATCTTCAGCTTTTGAATCTTGTGTAAGCGGGCTGAAATCTTATTGGTTGATAAATTGTCATTTTGGGTTGGCTGGAAGATACTTATTTTCAGCTTTTTTGACAGTTATGATGCAACTCCTTCTGACTATGTGTCAATGATTGTCACCGAGCATGGAATGGTACGTTATATTCAATCCTCCAGGCGGTTCTGCTTTTGTTATATTTGTCATGAATGTTTGACCTATAAACTAGGTTTTTTTTAATTTCTTAAACTTATTCAGCTTTAAAAAAAACAAAACTTATTCAGCTTAATATGACACGAAGTTTCATCAAAGAAACTGATGTAATCGATCACAAAAGAAAACTCATTCTAGATATTAGAAGATTACAAGAAATTACAAAAACTAGACAAATTAGATAAAAACAAACTTTTTATAAGATAAAAGATTATTACAAACTTGGACACAACACCTTACAAATACCTTACGAACTTGGACACAAACAAACCTAAAGGAGCTTCATTCTATTAGAAGAAGGATACAAGTGGGGTGTAAACTTGCGGGTAGAAGAAGAGGTTAGAAGCCGAGAAGAAATGGAGACAAGCTCGCAAGCTTTCTCAAAGAGGAGAGGAAGGAGGGAAGTTGGACAAAGCTCGCAAGCTTTTCCAAACAATAAACCCGCAGGTTATGGCTTCCGAAAATCACATCATAAGCTCTCTCTTTTATGCCAAAACAACTCCTATTTATAGACCAAAAGAGGGCAGCCAAACAGCCACCTAAAACATTAATTAAAACTATTAAATTATGGGAACTAGAAGGCCAAAAGTCTCCAAAAACTGCTGCTGATTTTCTGCACAGAAAATAAGATAAACTCCCATGGAATTCCCCCCAAACAGCCACTGAAATCAGCCAGCAAGGGGCCCGAAAACAGCACAGGAAACAAGGGGTTAAGGCACGGGAAAACAGCCAGCCAGCCGTGGGAACCAAAGGGCCAAGCACGAGAAAACCAGCAGCCATCCACGGGAACCAAAGGGCCAAGCACGAGAAAACAGCCAGCACAAGAAAACGAATAGGCATAGGGGAGGAGAAGAGACACAAATGGAGAAACCAAAGAGACACAAGAAGAAACCAAAGAGACAAAGAAAAAGGGGAAATGAATCTAATAAATCTTCAATTTAAGAGCTTAAGACACTCTACTAGATATTAATGAGCTGACATCTAGTAGAGGAAATTAAAACTTACCAAAAATAAAACCCAACTTGTTTTGACCCCCTCTTGCCTACATCAGACTCTCCTACCTGAAAAACTCATCTCCCGATGAGTTGCCTTTTGATTTCTTCCGAGGAGGTGAAGACGGTGTATTCAGTTCTTGAATTTTTTCTTCATACCTTTTTAGAATTTCTTCTCGTTCTTGCATAAACTGATCTTGTAAAAGTTGTTTCTTCTTCATGTACCGCTCCGTACACAAATGCATCCATGACTGTAGTTTGTATAGCTCATATTGCAGGGGATTTATTGAATCTCCAACTGACGGAATCCATCTGTCCATCAAAAGATGGACTTCAGGATCGTCTGGCTTGCTTTCATTTTTGATTGAATTGATCTTTTTGTCTTTTTTTCATTTTTTCTAAAAAAACTCAACAAGAAAGAAAGACTCAACCTAGGTCCTAAAGAAACCTAGACTCACACACAACAATTGCTATGACTCACCTTCCCAAATTTTTGCTTAGCAAAATAAAACTCTTCCTAGGATAATAAAAAGACACAAAAATACTCAAAAGACACAAATACGATAAACCACAACTTTATATAATAAAAAGACTTACAAACTTAGACACCTTACAACTCTTGACGCTTACAAACATAAACTTAAACAAAGATTTCTAAAGTTGCATTTCTTTGAGAAGAAGGATACAAGTGGGGTGGATTCTTGCGTAGAGAAGGAGGTAAGAAGCCAAGACGAAGGAGGAGGACTAGCTCGCAAGCTTTCCCAAGGAGGAGAGGAAGAGAAGTTGGACAAAGCTCGTAAGCTTTTCCAAATAAACCCGCAGGTTATGGCTTATAAAAATCACATCATAAGCTTTTTATAACATCCCAAACATCTCCTATTTATAGGACCAAAGAGGGCAGCCAAACAGCCCTTTTAAACTACTAATTAATCTTATTAAAAGGGGCAATTGAAAGGACAAAAATTCAGTCCAGATTTCTATCCAGAAACAGTCCAGAAATCTGTCCCAAAACAACAAAAACTGCAGCAGAAAAACTGCATAGAAATCAGGGACAAATCATGGAATTCCCCCCAAACAGCCACCACATCAGTCCCCAAACGACACAGCAAAAACAAAGAAGGAATCCCACGGGTTCCAAGCAGAAAACCGTAGAACCAAGTAGCCCAGCACGGAACCGAGAAGCCAACCGCAAAACCAAAGGGGCAAAGGCACGGGAATTCTTCCCAGCACAGGAAACCAACAGCCATTCTTGGAAACCCAAGGGACAGAGCACGGAAATCACCCAGCACAAGAAAACAAAAAGACAAAGGGTAGGAGAAGAGGCAAGGCACGGGAAACCAAAAGCCAAGAGGAAATTGAGAGGAAATATGGGGAAGAGAAAGAACCAGCTCCAAATAATAATGAGCTACCTTTTTTGTGATGCCCCAGATATCAATAGTGAAAGGATTTGTCTGACATTCTGATCGAACTCCATTCCAGTTGCCTTGCTCGGACCTGAAAATTTTCAACCACATATAATGAGCTTACAAAGCCCAGCAGGTCACCAAAGCCTACAACTGAAATCAAAGCACGGCGATGCTATCAATATGCAGGTCAATCAAATCAAGTCAATCAATGGTCAATGAGTCTATGAAATGCGGAAATCCATAGTCAATGAAATCAAGTCTGTACAGCGGAAATCAAATCAGTAGTCAATGCAGTACAGAAATCAATAGTCAATAATCAATACAGCGGTAAAAACATCGATAAATCAATACGCCTCAGCAATCAAATCAGTAAGTGCTTCCAGTTAATATCTATCCATCGTATCAGTGTCTATCAATCAATACTATCAGTTCAATCAATCGTGTCGTCTAGTCAATTCGTTGAATCTATATCATCTGTCTAATCAATAGAATGTCTGTGTCAATTAATAGCAATCAATAGCATCAATTAATTCAATAAGGGACTCATGTCAGAACGTACTCTTGCAAATCAGTCAATCCAATTATTCAATACGATTTACTCGACATCAATATACAATATTCAATGACACTACGACAGATTCAATAATGACGACGTACGATGCTACAGTAGGGAATCATCTCAATCAATAAAGCACTTTCCAGTCAATTATATCTATCAGCAGGGAAATCCATAAAACAATCGAATCAACTCAATAAATCAACCTCTATACAATGAAATC